GAGTCTCGTGGAGCTCACAGGGCTCCTCCACCATTCCCATTTGCCAGCCTGTTTTCCAAAGCGACGTTCTTCATGTTCCCGCCGCGGTGGCTGCAGTTGGCACAGGCGGATCTGGGCTGTAATGGCCTGGCCCGCTCGCCCGCCTGCTGCACGTCGCCGCAGAGCCACGCAGGGCCTGCGCCTTCCAGCCGAGAGAAGCACGGCTGGGGCTGTAAAGTTTACGAGATTCTGTGTTTTATCGTAAATTTTAAATTGACTTTGCAATCAGGGTACATTAGAGTTTTTAAGGGAAAGTCAGTGTGATGTGTTGCAGAACACAAGGTGGTAATTTCCCCTGTTATATTGATGCTATCAACAGTAAAGAATGAAGCAGCTGCTGCACAGAGGATTGTTTTCTGAATGCATTCAATATATATAATTTATAGACTATTATTTATTACGTGGGGTTTTCCCTCCTTCAGCTTCTCCTGGTGGCTTTCCCTCGCCCTCCATTACTGTAACAAAGCAATGAGATCTTATCTAGCACTTTTCTTCAGTGGATTCAAAGCACTTTCCAAAAGCAGTTGAGATCATTATTTCCATTTTTACACAGGGAGGGGAAAATTGCGGGCTCGAAATGGGAAAGGATGTGAGCCCAGAGACGCATCCGGGACACTCCTACTGCTCGGGATCTCTTGGATTCCCTCTCCTCTCCCTGGGCTGGGAGAGCTCGGCCAGTGCTGCCCCGTGTCCCTGTGGTTGCTGTGGGTCCTGCTCCCACCCACCCGCTCCGAGCCCACAAACCAAGCTTGAAGGCCAGCCCAGAGATGGAGGAGAGAATCAAGGAAATGGGAAATGGGCCGAGTCCCCTGGAAAGAGCCCGGGGTCCCCAAGGCAGGAGGGGAACTCTGACATGCACCCTGCTCYCCAGAGCTGAGCTTATTAGGTAAAGCTGCATTGCAGGAAAGTCATTCCACAATGTTGGCCTTCCAGGTGATGTCAAGGAGATGAGGAAATTGATTGCAACAGTCCTGGGTGGTTTAAATATCTGATGGAGATTTAATGTAATACAACCTTTAGTGGCCTCTGCTTTCCAGATTAACAGAGGGTCTTTGCAAACAGCTCTTTGGAAACAACGTGTAAGTTTATTTAAAAAATAGACAGCAAATTCCATTTGGTGATTGATTCATGACATAGGTTTGGGTATTGATTGTTCCTTCTTTATTTGTCAGATTTCTTCTAAATGTGCTATCCAAGAGGCAGACAACACTGCAACCATCCTGCGAAGGTTTATGTGCCAGGGCTCTTCCACTCCACTATATCATAGCACAGTCGTCAGAATGCAAAGCTGAAGGGCATTCACTTTTAATACAAATTAACTTAATTTCGGAGCTATGGAAACTCAGACAAGGAGCCCGAGATGGGCTGCAGTAGAGGATTAAGGTGCTGTGAATTAGATGCCTCATCTGCTGTTCTAGTCAGTGGAATTGGGCCCCGTCTGGAGGGGCCTTACCCCTGAAGCAGATAGTGACATTTGGGGACCTGCGTGGCTCTGCCATGCCCCCGGCTGCGCTGATTGCTTAGCCAGCGGCTGGCAGCTCGTTATCCAGCTCGGGATGTGAGCGTCTCGCTTCCCTGAGGCTCCTGCTCGGGCTCCAGCCGTCACTCAAGCGGGCTGCAGGTCCTGCATCGGAGCTGGCAGTCCCGTGAGGAGGCCGTGGTCGCCCGGGGCTCTAACGTGGMCACGGGGATGTAGGTTCAGGCAGCTGCACCCAGCGCTTCCACGCAGGCACCCGAATCTCGGTGCTGGGAGCTGGATGCGCCAAGGGGAGCAACGGGAGCGGATTTCTTGGGCCGTCTCCCTTGCAGGGTGAAGCCGCAGCCGAGCAGACCCACGGGTGAGCTGATGTGGCATCTTAGCGATGCCTCCAAGGAGGGTAATTAGAAACCTGAGGTCACATCCAGGAGGGCGTGTTGGACTCATCTAGAAACCAACCCAAGAGGCTAAAAGGGACCTTGTGGCTGAGGGCAAAGCCACATGCAAGCCTGCTTGCTTTGCAGCTTTTCACCCCRTGTGTGTTTTGGGAAGGCAAGAAGGAGGCCACGATGCACCATCCTATTTGGAAACTGCTCCCAAGGCCTTTTCTCCAGCTCTGTCCTTGCTGGCACAGAGGATGTGTCATGAGCGTGGCTGTTCTCAGGCTGTTCTTGGGGCACCTCTCCGTGGCATTTGGTTAACTGCAATTCAGGGCCAGCCTCTGTCTCCCCCAGTGACTCCCACATGTAGCCTCATCCCACACGGATCCTCCTGAGCCCCAGACGGCCGTTTCGGGGGTCACACAGCTGTGTCCCCGAGTTCCCTTGGCCACGGTTAGGAGCCACCACGCAGGCCTCGGTCCCTCGCRAGAAGAGCCAGCGTCTGCAAGCAGAAGGTAGAGCTGAAGCCCGAGGGGAGGCCGGATCCTGCCCCGATGCCGGTTGTGCGCTGACCTCGGCGGCGCCTGGCCTCGCTGTGGAGCTCAGGGTGCTGCAGGTGTTTGCCGCTTCCTGGGAATTTTATCCAAACCCGTGACAGCCACGCTCACCTCCCGGCCCGGTGACAGTGGCCTGCGCTCAGCTCCTCGGCCCCTCGCTCGTCACCCTTGGCTCCCAAGCAGCAAACAAGCCATTAGTCCTTGGCAGCAGCGCTTGCTCATCAGCTAATGATCTGAACCGGGGACGGGGCTGGCGGAGGAGGTCAGGCTTAAGAGCAGCAGGTCAGAGCAGCTGGATGAAGGCGCAGGGACTCATTAGCTGCAGCGAAGCCCTGTTCTGGGGCCCGTGACAGCCCCAGTGGCCGGGCAGCCCGCGCTGCCCTCCTCACCGGGCTCTCCTGCAAGGCAATACGTGCTATAAAAGCCACCTGTGCTCCTTGCYGTACTCACTGCCTGAATGTCCTTGTATTGATGGTCGGAGCTGCAGGAGAAGGAAAAACACGATCTCAACAATTACTGCTGGTGGTTTTTCCTCTGCTCCATGAGCACTGTGATTAGCTTAGCAGTTTAATGAAACAGTGGTGGGAGCAAGGGCCCCTTGGTTGCTCTGTTCGGGCACGATAATCCAGGTGCAGATCTGACATGAAAAATGGTGTTTGCACCTTCCTATGAGGGCAGATCCCATAAAATTTGACCCAGGATTGAGGTGGATACAGCCTGAGCCTAAAAGGAAGGAGAGAGTGGGAGAGGGTCCCCAATTCCTTGCCCATGTCACACGTGTGCTAGCAGGGATTCATGCTCACGGAGCCTTTCCCAGGAAAACCATGCCAAGGACTGCCTGGAGGAGATGAGGAACTGCTTGGGTGATTGAGTCAGTCACAAAGTGCTTGGAGACCCTGGGAAGAGGAGGCTGCATCTCCAGCTCCAGCTGACCCGTGATAACATGTGTCTCCTAGCATTTGTTTCAGTCTTCTCATGTAAAATTTACCAAATGGGAATAAACTGCATTTGCTCTGCCCGTGTCAAACACAGCACATTTGGCGGCTGCTCACAATAAATGGCTGTTTTCTCTCACGGAGTGGCTCCCAGTTGACTGTGGTCCATGAAGTCTTGGCAGAGAAATCCCTTTTCTTTTTGTGGGTTTTATTAATTGTTAGGAACTCGTTGACCCCAGCAGAAATTCAGGTTCAAAACCAGGTTTAAGAGCAGGTGTGAGCAAAAAACAGTGGCAGGCGTGAGCTGATGGTGCCAGTTTGGGGACAAAGTCCACAGTAGTGAGCTCCTCACTGCTTTTGTGTGCAGATAGCACTTGTCCGTCTGACTGCTGAATTATAGAAGCGATTTCCCATTATGTCCTTGTTTTCCATGTGTGACTTGCTGCTTCCAGGACAGCAGAAGCCAGTCCACAAGTGCAACTGCCCCACCAGTTCTCTCATGCCTTATCCTGGAGATTTAGGGTTGCTTACAGGCAGTTGCACCTAAGGGGGTTCTTGGCTGGGGACTGTTACTGCTGTTGGCTCCAATCTCACCCCCCAGCATGATGATTAAATGGAGTCAGGACCCCAAACCAGTCACTGTCCTGCTCATCCTTCATCTGCTGCCTGGTGCCTGCTCACTTCCAAGCCAGTTACTCTCCTCATTGTTCGTCATGAACCACCCCTTGGCCTTGGACATCAACATACTTCAATGTAGTAGATGTTGAATATAGTTGTTGAATATATTCGCTTCACTTGTTTCTTTTTAGCTTTTCCAACAAAGGCCTACGTTAAGAGGGATGGGGTCCTTGTATTGGCAGGATTTGGAGTGGTGCCTCTCACGCACCTTGCCCAGCTGGGCCTGGTGCCCACGGGACATGGGCTTGTTGCCAACACTGCTGCAGATCTGAGCTGTGTGTTTTTGAAGGCACAGAAACTTGATAATCCCACAGGGCCAACGCAGTCCCCTTTAGCTGATGGGGTGCTGGGATGGGTGAGCCTGACGACGCTGCCTGGAGAGGGTCTGTTTCTGGACGGTTCATCTCCCAGCTGCTGCAGGACAGGATGTGTTACAGCTGAGAGCTGGGTTGGGCTGGCACCTCTGCATCCATGATGCCATATTGCTGAGGGATTTCTTGGGACAGGCCTAGTGGTTTAGGCGTGGGACATGGAGGAGCCTGGAGTCACCTGAGCTGCCTGTGGAAACCTGGTATGAAACGGGCTGGAGCCCTTCAGAGTAGGGATGTGACGCTGAGGTGAAGAGCAGGAGAGTTTTGGGACCTGGCTTTGGTTCAGGACTAACTCCTGAATTCTGTGGTTAGAGCTCTCTGACCGTAGCCTAGAGAACTCTGGTCCAATGACAGGGTTGGTGCCCAAGCACAGTTTGAGGGAGGGCCTGTGCACCAGCCACGGTGGTCTTAGTGGAAGAAGAAACACGGGGCTACTGTGGTGGCTTCTCATGGGACAATTAGCACAGAAGGCAGCAGAAGGCCTCTCCAGAGCTGGTGTTTGAAGCCGATGAAGAAGCTTCATTCTGGACCTCATGAAACTTTTTCTCTCTGTTGTTTCTCAGGAAATGGTCCAAGGTGCCAAAGGAGAATCACCTGCGATTTGAAAGGACGACAGGGGTGACGGTGAGTGTGCGCTCCCGCCTGCGGAGCTCGGCCTTGGCGGGGACAGCTGGCTGCCCTCGGGAAGCAGGACGCGTGCTGAGCAGAGAGACGGTGCCTTTCCCATGTCTTGGGGCCTGATCTTCAGGGACTGGGGACTTCTGCAGGAGCAGATCTGGGATCTGCCTGCAGTGCAGGATCTGGGCAGCTTGCAGTGCTGCTCGGATTTAACAAAAATACAGTCCTCTTCTGTTATGAACGAGAGAACTGCGAATTGCTCATTTTGTAAACCTGTGGAGGATAGAAATCTGTGATTCCTTTGTGCTGCAGTCCTGGAAAGGGATATTTCGGCAGCAGATATTTTAGCAGCTGCACGGGAGTATGATGAGCAACAATATTTGTTAATGCTTTGAGTGCCTTTGGCTTTTGTTGTGCTTGGCCCCGGTGCAGACCCAGTCACGGGGTGTGATCTGGGTGACATTTCAAGGTCCTCTCCAGGCCTGTTTTCTGCAGCTGTCACACAGGAGGCTGTGGCTTGGGTGTCTGCCTGGTGGTCTTGAATAGGAAGGGAGCCTCGTTTTGTATCTGGCGAGCTGGTTCAGACACGCCGGAGCCACATCCATGGCGGTATCCAGCTATCCGGGTGGGAGGCTTTGGGCACCACCACCGTGCTCACACGGGTCGCATCCTTAGCGAGTTGAGTACCTGCAGTTCCCCTCGTGGAGGGGCTTCTCGTGCCTTCCACACGGGCAGATGTTGCAGGTGCCGAGGGGCACCTGAGCCCTGCGCTATGGCTGAGGTGACAGGGCGCTCTGGGCAGCCTGGCCATCGTGGGGACATGTGCACGGCGGGACTCGGGTGCTGCGTGGAGCATAGGTGTGAGCTTGCAGGAGGAATCACAGAGTCCTTCCTGCAGCTCGGTCCTGCCTGTGACTCTTCTTCAGACTTTCAACAATATAAATGACTGACTGAGATGCAGAGGTGCATTATAGTGCTTGGAGGAAATTTTAGCTCCCGTTACGTCTGGTCTGGTTTAAACATCAAATCTGGGCTGAGGTAGGAGTTCAATTCTCTCCTCTGGCTGTGTGGGCAGCGCGGAGGACCCCGGGCTTTGGCTTCCCGGCTGCATCCGGGAGAGAACGGGGCCCCATCCCGGCGCAGGCGCGTGGGCGGGCGGCTGCGTCCCCAGAGCGCCGTGGGGAGCGTCCCGGCGCTCCCGCGAGCACAGCGGCCTGCGGCACGACGCGACACGGGCCGCTCGCTGCAGCGCCCGCTGTGACCAGGGCCAAAACAGAGCCCGGGACCCACCGCGGCCCCCGGCCCTCCCGCTGCCCTCGCACGAGCCTGCCCGCCCGTCAGCAGCGCTGCTGCTCTGAAACCGGGGCTCCCTGCAGCCCCAAGCACGTCCCGTCTCCTCCCTGGCACCTCGGCCCCTCCACACTGCCCAAGACACTCGCCAGCATCTCAGGGGATGGGAGACCAGCAACAACATGAGGCTCTGCCACAGAATTATGAGGGTTTTTATATTGCTGGCATGGGGGGGGGGGTGACTTTCCTCATTTACATCAGCTGTTTTTTCCCCTTTTGCTGAAAAAAGCAGAGCTCTTAAAATCCTGAAGTGATTCAGCTTGCTAAACATCCGTTTGCACTGCACTTAGCATTAAATAATTGGCTCCTCGGCATATTTGACTTGGATGATATCTGATAATTCCGCGAACTATCCACCAGGCTCTATTATCATCTCTGCACTCCTGCTCGGGCTTCCTCGTTGTTGACTTTGCCTGGGGTTTACAAATAGATTTTGTTTCTCCTGCAATCTTGTTCTCTTTTCTTTCTCTCTCTCAAAGGAGCAGTTTCGCTCGCCTTGAATATCTGCACAAATTGTGAGCTGGCTGCGACAGCAGAAAGACAGTCATCTTTCTGCTGACTAGTGTGTGATCGCTCCCGTCCCTGTCCTGGATCTGCTTCTGCCACAACCCCCCCGAGAAGCAAAAACCCTAATTTGCCGGAAAGGAATAGAAACATTATCTCAATTGGAATAATTCCCTTTCCCAACGTACAAACTGATAAACCATCAAATTGTTGGAGTTTCCTTATCGGCTCATAGAATTTGTAGGACACAAAATAATGACCTGTCAACTTGCCTCGAGCAGGCCGGCTCGGTAGCACGGCACCAGTCACACACAAGACAAAACCCCGGGCTGCCTTGATTGTATTTTAGTAAGGATACTTAAGGTGGCTTCTGAAAAGCCTCCTAACCAGATGGATAATGTGCGAGCTGAGACTTTCTCATAACCCCTTGTTATTTTCGGTACCTTTAGGCTACGGTGTGTGCAGTCGAGACTCAACCTGTGTGCAGTTGGAAGCAGCTGTGTGTCTCACAGGTTGAGGAGCTGCAGAGTCATCACCTGGACAGACTTTTGTGGGTTTTTTGGTTGTTTTTCCCCATTTGCTGCAGGTGAATGGAGCTCAGGTGTGGCCAGCCTCAAGTGTGACCCTATGAAGGTCTTTTGTCAGGGTTTTGGGGCTTGCTTTCTCTTTTAGAGGAGACTGGTTTGGAGAGAGTTTTGTGCTGGCTTCCAGCCATGCTGAGGTCCCACCACCATACTGGTGATGAGCAGAGGGTGAGAGATGCTCCTGCAAGGGGCAGGTGGGACAGGAGACCATGTGAGACCAAAGGGGGCTCATGCAAGACCAGCTTCTGCCCTGCTGGGCAGACTGAGAGATGGTCTTGTTGAGGTCACGTCGTGGTGGGGACTGTTACCAGGAATCTCGTCTTTGTTCTAGGCTGAATGGATGAGATTGCAGGTGGGGAGTGTGAGGGATACACAGTGAGGGATACACAGTGAGGACCCGCCTCTGCTGTGAGCATCTCCTTGTATGGCCCTTTCCTCAATCTTCTCCTGAATCCCTCTTCCCTGGATCCTCTTTGAGACATCTTTTGCTTCTGGCACATGAGACATGCAAGGCAAATTCAAGCATCCAAGAACACACAAGATTTCAATGCCGTTTAGAAGCCCTTCAGGCCTTGCTTGATTTCCTGTGTTTCAAGACTGCTCTTTAAACAGCTCTCCTAGTTCTAATGGGGCAAGATTATTTTTACATTGATAGAAGCAGGTTAATATTTGAAAGCATCAACCTGGTACTTGTGTAGAAACATGGCAGCACAATCATATAAAACAGGGAGAAAAATTATTTAGTTTTGTACTGAAAGGTATTTGCTCTTGTGTGGATGAGTTTCTCTTGGCATCCTCTTGCACTTTATTGAAAGAGGTAAGGTAAGCTCTAAACTAGTAAATTCCTAGTGTAAATAGTGAAAAGAGAAATACTATAGAACAAGAAATACTGCTTTGAGCTCACGCATGGGGAAAACTGGTGCAGAGAGGAGTGGAGGGGCTCACCCAGGGCCACGGGCTGCAGCAGAGGCAGGACCCTGCTCGTCTGAGCCGYGCACAGTGTCGTGGCCACCAGAAGCTTTCCTTGGGCTCCCTGCGACACAGAGGAGGTGACACAGCGCCCATGCAGCCGTAAAATAATAATAAAAAAGGCTGATTTCTGCTCTCATGGGAGCACCTTGCCCGTTTTGCAGATCCATCTAATGACATTCTTGGTCACACACTCAGAATTCCTCTTAAAAAGCAAACGGCTCTGGTTTCGTCCGGCTCTCACCTTTTGTTGTTACCTCTGGGCAGCTCACCTGGGTGAGATGGGAAGGGGAGCAGGGTCGTTTCCCTCTGCTGAATCGGTCAGCTGTCTGCGGAGCTAATTCCTGCAGCTTGCAGTGGCGAGCCAGACCCCTGGGTAATATTTGCCTGAAAAGAGCCCTAAGTATTTAAGCTGTATTGCTGCGAACGGCTGTTTTATCCTATGCATCTGAGATTTCGGCCCATCAGACATGAAGCGGGTCAGGACTCTTATGCCATTGTGTGCATTATAGCGAGCAGAACAGAATATGCTTGATAAAAGGGAGGACTTAAAAGGAAGGCTTCTTTCGGGCTGCAACTTTCAAGTAGCACAATGCATCAAAGACCCCTCGCCCCGACTTTGAAAGGGGCGAAAGGCATTACCTAATATTTGGAGGAAATGAATAATAAAGCATCCCAAGTGCCTGGAAACTAATTTAGGAGTGCACATAGCACTGTATTGCCTCGGCTGGATTCGCTCCCCAGAAGAGCAGCTGACAAAAGATGAAAAATAAAAAAAGCAAGCATTCGGAGACCAACTTTTCTGCCTTGAAGTGCCCCCTTTTTGTCATGTTTCCTGGTAAGAGTTACTTATGAAAAGATGAAATGCAGAGCGTGCTGCAAACACCAGGCCTCAAATGGAGCTCGGGAGCCCTCGCGGTTTCACCCGCTCCCCTCCCCGCCGCAGCCTCTGTTCTGCAGTGCTGGAAGCGGCGCCGGCGACGAGGCTCCAGGAGAGGCTGCTCGCGGGATGCTGAGCTGCGTGTCGGCACTGCGTGATCCGGGGATTCGGTGGCATCTCGGGAACGGGAGAACTAAAACCCCGCATGGCCCTGCCTTTTGTTCCCGTGGAATTGCCATTGTTTGCTGCAGACAGAGCCCGGCCACGCGGCCAGTGACCTGCTGCTCTTTGCAGCGGTCCCGTCGCCAGCATTGCCGCTGATGCTGGAGACGCTGTTTGGAACCTGGAACTCGTCCCATGGTTTGTTGGAGAGAGGGTCGCGCGCTGAAATGCAGGGCTTGCTCCTGCAGCATCTCCATGAGCAGGGGGGTTGCAGAGAGGCTCAAGGCTGCAGAGGGGACAGGCCCAAATTTTGTTGCAGCTCAAGGCACTTAAAGCCTGGTCTGAATCACAGAATCACAGAATATTCAAGGTTGGAAGGGACCTCTAGAGATCATCTAGTCCAACCTTCCTGCTCAAGCAGGCACACCTAGAGCATGTGGCACAGGGTGGCATCCAGGTGGGTTTGGAAGGGATCAAATTGAGTGCTGGGAAGTCCGTCCTGTGGAGGCTGATGGGACTGGCCTGGGGGGCTGAGGCTGGGAGGTCTCCGGGACCTC